CCCTTACACATTCTTGGATCGTAATTTTGCGTTACCGTTTTGACTGTCAACGACATATTTAAGTGAAGTTCATATAAAAAATTTCGAAGGAGAGGAATGTAAGACTTTAGCACTTGAAATTACGGATTTATTTTATATCACAGCCAGGAGATGGTCCTCAAGCTCACAATCAGACCGTTACATAATTTAAGCATTTGTTAGGCAATCATACTGCATTGAAGTTGGTTCTTTCATCGTGAACAAATGGCGAAATTCGTTGATTGTGTGATATAGCCAACAGTTCAGTGGCCTCGAAATGAAGAAATTTTGCGTGACCTTCAGAAAAGAGACCATGTGCATGCCAAACCTCAAACACGAATCGCTTTGTCATCTCTTTTTTTTCTACGCTAATCGCCCATAACTTGATGTGTTTTATGAGGTTGTTTGTAATTAAAATTCCATCTTGCGGTATTTCCAGTTATTTCAGAGATACTGAATTTGTGATTATTCACGTACGTGAGATGCTGGATAGCGAGTTGTAGTAGTGATTCCCAAACATCCATTTGGTCATCTGTATTCGTAAGATTTACATGAATCATGATGATACATCCAGGAGGTTCTCTGTGGGGATTAGATGACGCCGGTAGGCCACACCGTCTGAACGCATCAAGCGAACCTCGTAAGTTTCATATGGTTGTCAGAAGCGATCTAGATTCTCATTGATCTCCATTAAATTGATATCTGCCGGTCATTTTCATAAGCAAAGAAGAGCTCTCATAATTTCCCAATTAAACGATTTCTCCCATCCAAAATTCTAATCCATTATTGTTTAACATAAGTTTTCTCACCTTTCGTTTGTTCTGACCTCCTGCCTAGATACGGATGACTATTTGGATTGGATCAACGAGGCTGTTTTTGCGGATTTTGATCATCAACAAATACGAATCCAAAAAGTCGTCGCCACAAAACATCACATAATCGCCCTGGATCGACATGGCTATTGCTATTTGTATGCGTGTCCATCGCACACAGCCATACGTTTCGTTGTTTCAACCTATGAAAATCAGGTGGAAAATCGTTCAGCTCTCTAGAGAATTTCTCTCCGAAAGCATTCGTCATCTGAATTGATCTTTTAGATTAGATTATGAGAAACGATAATGCTTAAAAATCATTATTGCGCTCATTCGGTCATCCACCTGTCTTGTATTGTGTAGATCACTGTAAGAACGAAGATCAAATCCAAAAGAAGCTGCCTCTTTTTTACTTTTCATTCTTCAGTTCATCAGTTTTAGTTGTTAGCAATATCCGTGCCATAAGCGCTTAGTATCATATAACTCAGCCGAATACCAATCCAGTAAATGATCGCAACATGATGAACATTTTATCGATCGCCCAGTGTGATCAACAGACCAACTACTCAATATGAATGGTTTATGAAATAATAATCATTTCGAGAATTTCAGCGATGGTATCCTGGGCTCGGTTGGTCATCGCGGACGTTGCCCACTGATCGGTGGTCGTTTTCAGATGAAACTGGTCAGCAAAATCAACCTTTGGACAGTTTCGAGCTACCGTCTGATGGCTGGAAATGGGAGCAACCGTGGATGATCGATTCGAGTGAAGAGTATTTCGACAAAGAGGTCCTTTCAGTTATTTGTAGTTCGATTGATGTACTGGAATCTGATCGGAAGATGGAATGTGGGCTGAAGTGGAGAAGCGATCTTCTCCACCTGACCGTCGACGGCAGTAAAACCTGTCGATTGTCATAGATATGCAATTATTATGAGACCATTCTCACAGTCCATTCATCAAACGTGATATCCAATATGTTGCTATCAATACAACGATTCATTGAAATCCAGAAGTAAAACTGATTTTGAAGAAATCACAAATCAGACATCGTTTATTGATACCCACTGAAATAAAACCTCTCGATTGTCAAAAAGTAAGAAACGAATGTTTTCCATCTTGAGGGTTGGCAATACGCTTTCAATTTCGGTGCCAATGTGACCTATCGTAACGCTCAATCGGCGATGACCTTTGTTCGTCGAAGGCGATGGCTAAGAGCTAGACGCTACACTGCATTGTGTCGTTGGGTTCAGGTGAGACTCCAAAACGAACCTTTTGCCTCTGAACCTTCCAGAACTGCTGCTAGCAGCATCAGCATTGATCACCTTATTGTCAGATAAAGAACGAAAACGTTCTGTAGCTCACACAACAAACACTTCACGGTAAAGAATTGAAAAACCAGCGATGTGTTCGGATATCAATGGTGTTATCGAGCAACGGCATTTCACTAACAAATGCTGAAAAGCAAAGCAAAAAGTTGAAGTAAATTGGCCAATTTAGATGGCTATAACGAAGCAATCTGAAGTGTTTTTGGATATTTGTGCGGGTGGCTTCGATATAGAAAACAACCGCAGTAGCACCAACAATGGCAATAACACATCGTCATCATCAGCATCTGATCTGTACAGTTTTTTTGCTCTATCGCTAGATGGTGATCTGTACTGGCGTGAAGGTATTCAAAAGAATTGCCCTGAAGGCTCTGGATGGGTACAAATCGAACCGATCCCAAATACTTCTGAAGGTCTGTTGAGTGGCTTCTGCGAATCAATTAGTTTTCTGTACCTGCCTTTGCAAATTCTGGATTGAAATCCTTTCCGGTAGACATTCTTTCATTTTCAACCATATGTCACCTAGTTGAGACTATAAGCTGCTTCTTTATATCATCCAGCTGAAATGAAACATTTAAATTTGTGCTCTGAAAAGTACTTGATGCCTGTCTCTCAAAGAATCCTTTCATTCTATTCGCTTATTCAACTTCATCTCTTTCGATGAGTCAGTGTATATGCAATCCCCAAAAAAGCAAGTTGAAGTTGATTCGCCAATTTAGATGGCTATAATGAAGGAATCCGAAGTGTTTTTGGATATTTGTACGGGTGATTTCGATTAGATGCATTTCAGAGGATACCTATCATGAAATAGCAGCGATAAGTTGTTCCGCGAGTTGCGGTTTACTGATAGCAATCACATGGAATGGTCTTGTATTCTGTCGTGTCGGTATCACGTCAAAATGTCCATACGGTAAAGGGTGGAGATCATTTGCGTCACCGTGCAATCTGCCAGTGATCAGTGTTGCAATGGGACGACGAGCCTTATGGATGGTCACGTCTAGTGGAAGGGTTCGATTTGAATCGCTTGTTCATAGCCAGGAATCTGGTTCTGAGGATTGATTTTCACCCTACTGATCGCTATGAATTTTAAACTGCTCTCACAGAATCAATCGCAAAATTCACAGTTCCTTTCTCAAAAGAAGAACAACCGAACCAAAAGTTTCCAGTTATTTCACAGCAGTGTCTCTGTTCATACAGATTTTTGTAATGCGCAGGGAAAAGCATCGAATTTGCGTTTATGCGGTATCGTTTCAATGCATGGTGGCGCGTTTTTCCCATTTACAATAGATTTGATCCAGAAAGAAGTTACTTTTGATCTCTATCAGTCAATGCATGATGGATAGATCAATGAGTTTTGAATAATCAATTTCAAGTTGTGGATGACGAGCGTAAAAGGTGCAGCACTAGGTGTATATCCGGATCTGAGTAAGTGTATCACTGCTGATAGCTACACGTCGATGGGTGACGGAATGTGTCGCATTTCAGTGACTAACAATGACCAGGTCACTAATATCTCATCGCTTTGAACCTTTGCTGGGATTATCCCTATAGCCATCAATGAACGACCGAATACTGGGATGTATGTCAGTCAAACCAATGAAGCTGAGAAATACTCTAGGTTTTGGGTATATCACAACGTGATGAACGGATGTTCATAAGAAGCGATGTGAGAGATGATGAGCTGAGTGGAAGATCGTGGTTGGAGATAGTAGCAAGAGATGGTTCAGCTGGTGATATGAACTTCAAATGGAGACAGGTGAGCGACTTCTTCAGCATCTTCTGATCGATCAGGTAGTGGATTACACAAAAGGGTTTTGTTATTTGACATGAACACTGAGTTTGATCTGTTCAGTTGGTCAATTGAATAAAGAACACACCAAATCATTCGGTATATTATTCTGAAATTGAGGTCGGTATATTCTGCAATGGATATTTGTTTCATTGGTTGCTCAATATTTTCAAACCACTGAGATTTGAGTTCGCTTCTAGGTCGAGACAGGAAATTGTGCGATAGTCGCGAAACGCATTCCGAGGCATTGGATCGATAAAAATTTTATCGCTCGCGATTGTTCAGCAACTGCCGACCTGAAATCAGAGTGGCGTCAACAGGTCGGATTGGTTTGCTGCTAATTACTAACAAATCTTTCAGATCGTGTGTTATTAGCGGGTGTGACTGCTCCAAAGAGTTTATGAAAAGCATTATGTGCTCGATTTTTTGATGCAGATCTTATTTTGACCATCTAAATCCTGTCGAATATTCAATAACAAATTCATTTCATCCGCCAAAGAAATGAATGAATAGTTTTCTGCTGAGTCATGAAAAGAATACCGAAGTTGATCCATAACCCTGTACAGATTATCAGTCTACTCGATAATCGAAACGAATTGCTATGGAACGTGTTCCAAGATGTTGAAACTGCCACACTGTCACATCCGAACAGTCCCGATCGTCCCTCAGAGTCTTGGACAAAGACCGCGAATGTCCACGCCAGTTTGAGTACGTGGAGGTCGTTGAACTGGATCGATTGTATGGCTCATTTACTCGTGAGCGATTCAGTCGAGGGCACCATACGATTGCATTTTCGACGTGGTGGAAGCTTTCAAGCAGATTTTTTTGAGGTTTAGTTTCATCGAATAAACCAATCGTGACAAAATTTTTTTCGAGTTTTTCTGAAGAAATCTACATTAGTGAAATGGAAGGAGTACGTTTGCAGTTACTGGGTGCGTTTGCTTTCTGTGATAGCCGTTGGAAGAATGCTCTTGAGGTGCGTACAACACAGAATAGGACAACGTTGAATATCGCGTTTGCAAGTGAAGATGAAAGAGATCAATGGAGTGATATCCTTCAGAAGGTTTATCTCTCCGCTTCTCCTCTAGTCGGCTATATCTGATCTATATGAATGTTGAAAATTTGATATATTTTCTTCAATGTATAACTTCGCCACTTCA